GCAAGTTTCCACAGCCCACATGTAACGTTATCATGAACCAGTGAAAGGAAGAGTCTACAGATAGGGAAAATCAATGCCACAGGCAGGCTGAAACCCACACTGGAGTTTAGGAAGGGAAAGGGCATAGTTAAGAAGAGGCGAAAGGCTGGGAAAAGACATCATCACAAGGGCTCTCAAGCATCACCCAACAATCATTTTATCATTCATTCAAGACAGAGTTACTGAGGTCCTATTTTGTACAAGATTGTACAGAGGGTGAAGCAAGAGTGCAGAGACTATGGTCGCAGCAAGTGGCGGGGCTCAAATACACTTCTGATCCTGGTACCTGGCACACTTGTCCTCAGTGTAAAGGCAAAGGAAAAAAAGTAAAATAATTCTATGAAAACTCAACACACTGTTGAAAAAAATTAAAGAATACCTAAATACCTGGACAGACACATCACGCAGATTCCTGGATCAGAAGAGAGCGCTCTTGGAATGACAGTGCTCCCCAGAGCGATTCATATATGCATTGTGGTTTCAATCACAATCCCAGGAGGCTCCTCTGCAGAAACTGACTAGCTGCTGCTACAATTCATATGGGAATTCGAGGGTCTCAGTATCCAAAAAGTACTTAAAAAAAAGAACAACGTGAGAGGACATGTCATTCTCAATTTCAAACATTACAACTGTATCTCCAGGTGAGATTAGAGGCCATTATTAAGTTATTATTGTGTTTATCCTTATTTTCTAAATTCTCTACAATGAATATAACTGTTACAATAAGAAAAATAAAAGTAAGGTATCTTTTAAAACATACACACCGATTCATTCATTGGAAAAGAATATTTTAACTATATAGAGGTAAACAAATACCTAGTGTAAAAGAACTACTTAAAACCAAGAGTGCATTTCCATTTTTCATAAACTGAAAACTGAAAAGCACAATCACATCAAGTTTCTAGGGAGACTGATGCAACATAATAATAGTTATTTTCAAAAATTCTAATTAAACAATGAAAACTCAAGAAAGGGAAAATCGTGATTGACAGCCAACTGCAAACACATGGAGAGAGAAATCACAGTTCCTTTAACTCTGCTACTGACCCAATAGGAGAGGAAATTCCTCACTGCGGGGACAGTGGAATCCCATGA